AAGAATAGCTTCTTGACTCTAGCACATATCATCACATAACTAATGATCTTGGCAATCTTGCACTCCACTCCAACTACTCTGGACCCGATGATGTTCAAATTGGTGACAGTAATGGTTTACACATCACTCACACTGGTCAGACTCATATTCACTCCCATAACTCCAAGTTTATTCTCTCTAATATTCTCGGTGTTCCCTAAATAGCTCGCAATTTAATTTCTGTCTCTCAATTCTGCTCACAAAACAATGCTAGTATTGAATTCTTACCCAGTTCATTTATTGTGAAAAACTTGCAGACCGGAACTCCAATCCTGCATGGGCCAGTTAAAGATGGCGTGTACGCATTCCCATTCACTTTGTTTGCACCTATGACTGCCTACTCCACTATCTCCACCAACCTTGACACCTGGCATCTCCTCTTTGGACATCCCAACCCCAAAATCTTACGTCATTTAGTGTCTAGCAAATTTTTATCTTTATCTTTGTTCAAACATTCGTTATCTAATTGTAATTCATGTGATTGCAATAAAAGTCATAAATTGCCATTTTCCAACTCTACTGTGTCCAATTCTGCTGCATTATAGATTATTTTCTCTGATTTATGGACAGCTCGCATCGTCTATACCGAAGGATACAAATACTATGTTGTGTTTATTGATCATTTTACTAAATATGTATGGCTCTACCCCTTAAAGAGAAAATCGGACGTTCATGACACCATTATTCGTTTTCGTGGCCTTGTCGAAAAAAATTTTAATGCCACCATTACCATGCAATTCACGGACAATTGTGGTGAATATATTGCTCTCACCTCCCACTTTTTGGAAAACGGTATCACTCGTTTCACCATTCCTCCTCATACACCGGAACATAATGGCTATGCCGAACGGCGACATTGCCATATTGTTGAAACTGATTTGGCACTTCTCCACCATACCTCAATTTCCCTACATCTTTGGCCTTATACATTCACCACAGCCACATATCTGATTAACCTCCTCCATAAACTCAACCTTAACTAGCTCACCTTTTATGAAAAACTCTACCACTCTTCCCCAAATTTTTCCAAACTACGGGTGTTTGGGTGCCTTTACTATCCTTGGCTACGCCCGTATAACTCACACAAACTTGAATCTCGCTCCAAGCCATGTGTTTTTCTTAGTTATAGTCTCTCAGAGTGCCTACTACTGCCTCAATTTTCCTATTGGTCGTGTTGTATACGAGTTGTCATGTAAAATTCGTCGAACATATTTTTCCCTTCACTACCTCACCCTCTCTCCCTTTAATAACAGAAGTCGGTTCTCCTTTCTTTTCATCTTCGCCCTTGGTCACTAGCTCAGAGGGCATAAGTCATGGTGTGTGTACTGATCCTCTGGTCACTGTACCCGCTGGTTTGGACTTCGTCTCTGCTCTTTCTCCTTCCCCATCTCCAGTTTCCGGCCCCAATTCCTCACATAACCCTGCCAGTCCTCCATTTTTACCGTCCTCAGCCACTGCACCTAACTCCTTGTCCGACCCTATGCCAACCCCCTCTCCCACTGCTCTCAACGTCTCACATACTAACACCCTCGTCCACAGCCCTTCCTTAACAACACCATCTTCCTTGTCTACTCATCTCACTCCATCACCCTACACCCCTATACATATGCGGCCCACTCGAAGCCTTGCGCAACTCTTCCACTCCCTTCCTCCGTCTGCTCTTGAGCGATCCAACCACCTCAGTAGTCTTTCTATCTCTCCAGCTACCGATGATTCCACTGCTCCACCTCCTTTTTCTACTCAACCAACCGCACCACCTCTCCCTCCACGTTCCCAGTCCTTCTATCCAATGCTTACCCGAAGTAAGGCTGCTCACTATGCCTCTACTACACCCTGCCACTCCCTCGAAAACCAACCATTGCTACCTAGGCCATGAGGGATCAGAACTAGCGTTATGCTATATGTGATGAGTAGAACTCCCTTATCAAAAATGGCACTTGGACTCTTATGCCTCGTGACTTCTCTCAAAATTTTATTGGTTGCAAATGGGTCTTTCGTATTGAACGGAAAGTGGCTGGGTCTCTTGATAAATATAAGGCATGCCTTGTTGCCAAAGGCTTTCTTCAACGCACTGGGCTGGACTATTGTGATACTTTCAGTCCGGTTGTTAAACCTGCTACTATAAGTCTGATCCTTTTACTCTCTGTTATGCGAGGCTGGCATCTCAAGCAGTTAGACGTTAATAATGCCTTTCTACATGGATCATTGTCTGAGAATGTCTATATGCAACAACCATCAGGGTTTGTTAATCAACAATTTCTGGATTACGTTTGTTATCTACAACGGTCTCTTTATGGCCTCAAACAGGCTCCTCATGCCTGGTACTCTGAACTCAAGCATTTCATCATCAGTACTGGATTTCAAAATTCCATAGCCAATGCGTCCCTATTTTTTCTCCGCTAGCGGTCTACATTACTTTTTCTCCTGGTCTACGTTGACGACATTATACTCACTGGTAACTCCTCCTCTGCTATGGCCACCTGTGTTCAAAAACTTGCCGACCTATTCTCCATTAAGGATATGGGTGATCTTTCTCACTTTCTTGGCATGGAAGTCATTTCTAGCCCGCATGGTCTCTTTCTCTCAAGCGCAAGTATATTCCTGACCTCCTAGACAGAATAGGTATGTCTTTATCCAAGCCAGTTGTTAGTCCCATGCCACCCTCACACGTCCCTGCTATGCATGAAAGTGAACCGATGGCCAATCCATCTGATTATCGTTCAGTACTTGGTGCCTTATAATACTTGGCGTTGACATGCTCGGATGTGGCCTTTGTTGTCAACAAACTTTCCCAATTCATACACTCTCCTACATCAGTACACCGGTCTGTCCTTAAACATTTATTACGGTATTTGCATGGGACCCTTGATCATGGTCTTCTACTTCAACGGAATTCCCCGTTTTCTCTTCACGCATTCTCTGATGCTGATTGGGGTTGCAACATCTCTGACAGAACCTCCACTGGTGCTTATATTGTTTTTTATTGGCTCTAAACCGATCTTCTGGAGTTTTAAAAAGCAGAGCACTGTTGCTCTCTCATCTATAGAAGCTGAATACCAATCCATTCCTGCTGCAACTGTCGAAATCACCTGGCTTTAGGCTCTCCTTCATGAGATTGGCTACACATTGCCTACCGTTCCTATCATCTATTCTGATAATGTCGGGGCCACCTATCTGTGTGCTAATCCAGTGTTTCATTCTCGGATGAAACATATTGCTCTTGACTTTCACGTTGTTCGCGAAAAAGTTCAAACTGGCAAGCTTCGTATCACTCATGTTTGTGTCTCTGATCAATTGACTGACAGCTTAACAAAGCCAGTTCTCGGCTCCAAACTCTCCAGCATTCAGTCCAAGATTGGTGTCCATCCGTCCTCCATCTTGAGGGGGCGTATTGGATAATGATTTGGTTACCTATTCTAGTTAACTTATTTTAGGATATGTATATTCTGTGATTTGCATTCTGTCCAGAATTATTGCTGTACTACAATTAGTGTAGCTTTTATAGTAAATAGCCAAGGGTCATTAGAATTTTACATTCATTAGAAAACCCTAAACTAGGGTTGGCCGTGCAAGTCTGTATGTGTATATAAGCACTCTTCTTCTTCATCAATAAGCATGAAAAATTTCAACCAATGATTCTTTATTTTCATTAGAAGGACCATGAAAAGACATTGAAAGCCTTGAATTTTATTCAGGAAAAGAATCCAAATTCGGACAAAAATAGTCCAAATGGATTAGTGGGGTTTGAGAGAAGATTCCTTGTGTTCAATGGAGCAGTTGGGAAAGAAAAATTGGAATGGTTGGATCAATGTCCTTCTGGATGCAACAAATTCTAACAAGAAAGTTGTGGTATGTTGTCATCTGCCTTATATCTGGTGCATCATCTAAAGAAGCTCTATGGTGGAATTATGACAAAGTTATGGACGTGATTCACCGATACAATTGTTTAAAGGTGTGCCTAGTTGGACACGATCACAAAGGTGGATATTCAGTCAACTCCCATGGCGTACATCATCAGGTACTAGTAGCAGTCTTAGAATGCCCTCCAGGAACCGATGCTTTTGAATGAGTTAAGTCTTTTTTCGGTGACAGATTACTACCTTACTATTTTATCAAATGCTTGGCTATTAATCACAATTTCATTATGCCTTGGTTTGTACTATCGTACTGATGTTGCTTGATTAATATCTGCACCAGACAACTAGCACATCTCACCTCTATTAAGAAAAATATCCTGAAATTTAAAAATAAAATGCATGCTTGGTTCCCTGATATTTTTTTAGTAAATGGCATTTCCACTTGTCATAGAGGAGCGAATTTTCTTCACCGTGACATAAATAGATGTTGATACATATCCCTTTCCTGCAGTTTACTTTCTTTTTTCTGTCTCTGCAAGGTACATATGAGTTGTAACTGAGTTAAATAAAACACCTGTATAATGACTGCATAATTTTACGTCAAAGCTACAAATAGATAATCAATTTGTTGTGGATTGAGCAAATTTCGATCAATTATATATGGATTTTGAGTCGAAATGAAATTATTTTACTGTAGTTATATTGAGTGGTGGATGCATGATTTTATTATAATAGGAATAATGGCAACTTTTTTTCAAATTTTATCTTGAACCATAATACTACGCCAGGTTGATAGAAAAGTTGCCAGTCCCATGAATTTTGTTTCCTGTAAATAGTTGCTGTGTAATTTGAGACGGTTATTAATGTAATAAATTTAACATTAATTTATTTAACTTCTAAAGCCGAGCCTCTCATCAAACTTAATATATCATACGAGAAGGTTATAAGCTCCCTGGAAAGTTTCTGCTCCTTATCAAACTGAAAGCATTTTTGACATTAATTGTTCACACGCAACTGGAGACATTTAAAGAAATCAAACTCAACTATTACGAAGTACTGATAAAACTTAGAATATTGACTGACAAAGTTACTCAAAAGACTATATCACTTTGCTTGGGACATCTTAGCCTTTCTTTTTTCCAGGTAGAAGAACCCGAACAAAGACACAATAGAGAAAGCAGAGAAGCAAATCGAGGCAATGTCAAGCGACACATTGCGGCCACTGATTGCCTGGACGTTGAACAAGTTGGTGGTTTTATGAGCATCCGTGGTTTGGCCATATGCTACCTCATGGTCTTCAGAGTTATAAACATATGCTCGGATAAAGTATGTAGCAGTTGGCACATCTCTCTCTACTGTCCAGGCGAAAGTGTTGTTAGTAGAACTGTATGGCTTCGTAACAATAGCGTGTTGGCAGGTCTTATCTTTGTTTAAGTGGTCCTCAGTTTTTCTCCAGGCTCGGTCCTGCTGACTAACAGGGGCATAACACAGCTTGAACTTTACTGTCTTGTAGCCTGAATCTGTCACACCTGCTAGTGATTTGTTGAATGACCATGTCATTACTATATTGTCTTCCCCAGCTTTCGAAACTGTAAATTTAATTTAGAAATAATTTTAGATGAAATAAAACATGGTGCTTGTGAGTTGTGTCTTTATGGCTAACAAATACCATTCTTGAAATAAATTTTACCTTAGACAGATTAATCATAATATTTCCATGTGAGGTATTAATTTTTAGCTGCCAGCTAAATTTATCTTTTTGTGTCGAAAGAACTCGAGGTGAGGCGATTTGTCACCCTCTTAAGTTCTGTGTTTTTTGCTTTATTTCTTCCTATTAGTGATAAGTACTCTCCACTTTTGTGGCGGTTTGATTAAATATGATCTTGATTACATAACCTGTACGTACATATCTGAATTCTTTCATCTGTTTGTGCGTGTGCAAGGAAGGGGGATGGCAGAATATTACCTTGTCCGAGTTTTGGTGAAGCGTTGACAATAAGACTTTCCTGAAGAGAGGAGAAGGTTACTACACCGTAGGAGGTGGCTGCCAAGCACGAAAACAAGAGTGTAACGACAAGAAAACCTTGAATTCCCATAATCGAATCGAACTATATGAAAGTTATGAAATCCCACTGATGATCTGATTTTAAAGATGTGCCAAGATGTTGGATTTTGGCTACTATATATATATATATAGAGAGAGAGAGAGAGAGGAGACAAATGTCAGCATCAAAAGTCAACCATTCCCAACTGGCTGGTTTTCTAAATAGTCGTATAAATATTTCAATATTTTATGATTGAAATGACCGACTCTTCTGTGATGTTTTTTATATGGTGAATTGGCCCGAAGGCATGTTCAAAGGGTTGTTTATTTTTTTAAATACTTTTGAAGAATTTGTTTTGGGTGTTTGTTAATAAAGTTGACCTAGCTTATACATTCTTGGATGTTTTGGAGGTGTTGAAGAATCACAAGTACATCCTCATTTGTATATAGAATTTGCCAATGTATGATTTTGTAAAGACTGGCTTTGTCCCCTAATGCAATGGAAAGAGTAGATCAAAAAGATACAAGGGGTTAATACTAAGAGTTTCTTTTGATTTTCAATTATTAAAATTTTTAAACATTATATCTCACGTAATAGTTATAGTGATACTAATTAATAACAAGTTCGATAGGAAGGATCGGCTAAAACGTGATGATATTAGAAAAGAAAAAGAAAAAGAAAATATTTTATTCATTATGCTATATTGTGTAGTCCAATATTGGTACATAAAGCTACTTCTATTTAAATTTGAATTCAGATCTTCATACTCTGAAATGAGGTTCTTTTCTGATTTCGGTTTTCTTTGAGAAATGTCTAAACTTTGTGTAAATGGGAATTTTCATGAGTGAACAATATCCTATAAAATATTTAAATTAAGGACAAAATCCCTTAAAGAAAACTAAAGGATCAAAACTAGTGCATGAGACAAAATATGCATAGAAACTACAAAAAATAAGTGTATGAGATAGAGGAAGCACTATATGCATCATTAAGTCCTAAACACTTAATTAAGAGAATTAGACTTTTAGCACAAATTATTAGCCTAGATGATTTTTGGATGTTGAAGCAATCAAAATATTGTGAATACCCATTTTTGTTGAGATATCGACTTCTATTAGTAATATCTAACCAAATTAGAGAAATAAAGTTAGTGACCCCGTAGGAGTGATTAATGAAAAATTTAACCATTAAGGACCAGAAATTGAATCAACATGTTATGACTTGATTCTTCACACACTCACAATAATTTTACATTAGATAAGTAGAATTCGATCTTGGTATTACAATTTCAAAGATCTTTATAGATTTGACATGAAATTTTCAAAATCGAGATGAAATGGCAAACTATCTAGCTATTTTACGCTTTGCTTTGTGTGTTTAGTTAGGTATATGATTTTGTTTGAGGATGAATAAATATTATTCATGTTTAAAAATAATTTATAAGTGTATTTTATGCACTTATCTAAGTTGTTAAACATGGATAGATGAAATTATTTTAGAGATTTATTGCTTATTTCCGTGTAAATATTATTTATTTAGGTAAAACTCGATGTTGGACATGATTTTGGAGAAAATAACAAAAATTGAGCTAAAAGAATGTATTTTGTGCTTAATTTTGAGATAAGAGACCAACTGAACAGAATTGGAAGATCAATGATTTCAATTACAAATACAATGGACTGGAGAACGGAATTTAGGGATTAAATTGCAAAGGACTCAAAATAGATTCTATTTGTAGTCCAAGTTTTGAAAAGCTATTTGGCTGATGTTTTAACCTACTTTTGGCCTCCAATTCTTATATTCTTCATTCTACAATGTGGAAAGAAGGCTATGAAGATATTAAAGGAAAAGAACATCAAGAGATTGAAGATTCAAGACTCGTGATTAAATATTCAAAGCAAAAAATTGGTTTTACGTCTGTTTTTTGCAATTATTTGGCGTGATGAATTTCTAATTCTTTTCTTGTATTTCCATTATTGAGATGCTATCCTAAATACTCTAGTGTTGGGATGAAGAAAACCCCTAAATCTCACTGTTTTAATTTAAAGACCATTTAGTCTCTATTTGATTCTCTTTAAATTAAAATTATTTATTGATCATACTTATTTCAATTATACATTCACATAATAAAATATTCTGCATATACATTAAAATTTTTTTCTACTTTTTGACCATACATTCTTCAAAAAATTACTATTCAACATATTATTTTCTCTAGATTTCGCTTTATAATGACAATCAAATAGGGGCTTATATATTTGAATTGTGTTATTGATTGGTATTGCATGCTTGTTGAATATTTGAATACTTTATCACTATTTAGGTAATAATTTAATTATTTTATTTTCGGGAGTTTCAAAATAGGTCTAGAACATTGCAATAATTACAATGCTCAATAAACATTAGGAATAATTGTGCAATCAAATAGGTAATCGTACAATCAAATGCATTACTTCACTTATGAATATGGGATAGGAGTATTTCGGATCGTGGTTAGGAATATGTTTGGCTTACCTTGGTAGAGATTCTGAATAAAATTAGGTTATACACAATTTATACTAGAGAACATAGGTCAAAAATTGGAACGGGGGAATAATAGGTGAAGTGAGAACCTCAACAAACTCTTCTCACACATAGTTGTCACATACAATTAGATAATTATTAAGATACATATTAGTAGTTAACATAAACAACAATCAAAACTTTTGTTTTCGGTTACATTTGAATTTGACATCGAATTAGTACAATTAATTTAAAATTTATTCCTCGTGGGACGTACTTGACAATCTTGAACTTCTAGGTCAAAAAAAAAAAAAAAGGGTTGCTAGTCCCCAAACTTATAGCCAAGTTTCAGTATAGTACAAGTTCCAATTTTGTTTCCGTCACATGATTCTGTCCAACTTGTTCGCACAGGTTAGGGACTTGTGGTACAATTTTCACCTTTTAATCTCTCCCTTTCTTTTACGAAGAGCTTCCTATGTTTTATTGGGACGCAAAGTTTGATTTCAAATTTTAGATTGAAAGTATTCGACTACTTCTAGTGTAGACAGTACACGTGACAACCATTTCCAAATTTTATAAATATATATGCATGCTGCAGTCTCTGTTTTCTTAATTCATTATTCTCAAGTTGCAAATACACTCCAATAAATATACACATGTTGAAAGTCTCGGTTTTCACATCTTCATTAGCCAGCCTGTTTTCTTTATTGATTATTAACTAGTTGCTAACACATTCCAATAAATATACACATGTTGCAGTATCAGTTTCTGTTTCTACATCTTTATTGGGCAGCCTGATTTCTTAGTTCACTAGTCGCCAATACACTCCAATAAATATTTGCATGCAAACAAGCTAAATCCTCTGTGGGCCCTTCACCTCTTTAATCTATTTCTAACTAGGAACTTTCTTATATTTTTGTTCCCACCATGTCAAGGAAAAAGATTAGATTTTTGTGGTTATCTCACCCTTTCATGGGAAGTTAATTGAGCAGCAGAGAACACGACTTAGACCATTTTCTTACTATTTTAAAAAAATGGCTTATCCTGCTCTTCTTTCTCTTACACACAGTCTACAGCACTCTCTGAATTGTGACTCTCAATATCTGATTCTTGATGATATACAACAAACCTCGATAAGGCTAGTTTTCAAGGGTACGGTGAGAGACTTCGATCTATCCATCAATCTGGGAATGAGTAGTGCGGCTTCGATTCAAATTCGTCCAAAACAACTTCCATAATGTAATCCAAAATTTCCCCTAAAAATTTGGTATCCTAATTTAATGTGATAGACTTGAGAACTTCATGTAATCGAACAACCTCCCCGAAAAAATGTTTGGCAATATTCGATGCATCTGAGGTCCTCTGAAAAGCTACAAAGTGAGCCATATTGGAGAATCTGTCGACTACCACAAAAACAGAATCTACACCCCGCTGAGTATGAGGTAATTCCATAACGAAATCTATAGCGAGATCTTGCCATATGCCCAACAGGAAGCGGCATGTACAACCCCGATATTTCGCAATTGACACTTCGACACCTGACAAGTTTAACATTTTTTGAAAATAACTCCAACATCTTGCTTCAACTGGGGCCAATAATACCTAGCTTCCAAACTGGTTATTGTTTTGTCACACCTTAAGTTTCCACTAAGACCTCATCCATACAAATCTCGAATCAGCTTTTCTCGTAAAGATTAAACGGGAATGCAAAGTTGGTTGCCCTTGAACAAATACCCATCACTAATATGGAAAATGTGCCAAAGTTGCTCCAAATCCCCTTAACATTAGAATCATCTACATAAAGTTCCTTCAAATACTCAAATCCAACAATATCCTGTGACAACGTGACCAACAAAGTGGATCTCCGACTACGGGCATAGTAACTTTATTCGAACTTCCAGATTTATGTCTAATCACAAAAGAAATTTTGTGGAAGAAAGTCACCCACCGAGCATGCATCTTGCAGATATGTTTCTGACTATTGATAAATTTCAAGGCTCGGTGATCAGTGAAAACACAAGCTCATTCTATATGAGGTAATGTTCCCATTGCTTCAAAGCCCTCACAACCGAATATAATTCTTTCTCATAGGTACTCCACTTCCGCCTTGCATTACTCAACTTTTCTGAAAAGAAAGCTTCTGGTCTCTTCTCTTGAAAAAGGACAACCCCAACACTTACACCACCAGTATCACACTCCACTTCAAAGATCTTATCGAAGCTTTGCAAAGCTAATACTGGAGTTGTGTACAACTTTTTCTTGACGAAGGTGAAGCTCTTATCTTGCTCATTTCCCCAACTGAATCTCTCATTCTTTAAACATTCCGCGAGTGGCGCCACAATAGTGCTAAAATTCCTAATAAATGCCTATAGAAAGTTGCCAACTTTAACCACAATAATTTCAAAGATGAAATGAATAAAGTTTGGGCTGAGGTCTTAAAATTTGAAACATGCTTGCTTAGATGTAAATATCTTTTAAAAAATTGGCAATTCCTAAAAAGATTTGAAGATTTTTAAAATTTCAAAAAAAAATTTGAAATGTCAAGTCAT